TGTATTCACACGTTTCATGTTTTGCTACATTCAGTATTCAGTTGGTCCAAACATTTTAACGTGGTGATTTCGTAGACATGAAAATGGTTGAAACAAAATTGAAAACCAGGTGTTCGCGAAGTTTGTTTACAATTAGGAAATGAATTACAGAATATTCTGGTGAATCAGAAAGAAGAAAACGTTTTTTTTTAGCAGATACGTCTACAAGAAACCGTTGACGTTCTATTTTAACAGAACGTCACCGGTTTCTTGTAGACGCATCTGCTTTAAAAAACTAAAGTGTTCTTATAATAGTTTGAATTTAAATATTTTAAATAGTTTTTTCTTTATTCTTTGATTTTTTGCTTCCGATAGACTTTCCGAAACGTTAAGCATTTTTTTCTTTGTTAGGCAAATTTGTATAACTGTAAACATAACTTCTGACAAGCAGTGTCCGTTTAGGTGTAACGCAGAAGTGTTTACAAAAATAACTATTTTATTTTGTAGATTTTCTTGCAGTGCAGTTGCGAAATACCTATAAAGGATTTTTTTGGATATATATTAAAATAATTAATTAACTTTAACTTGTAAACTGAACAAATCACGAAAATGTAGTTCTCACGCTTCAGTTTCTATTCATTATTCGATAATGATCAGTCAAAAATGAAAAAAAGTAGAACTGGTTTTCACTTTAACTGAAAGTACGAATTTACTGATCATTTAACATGAAAATGTGTTCTGACGTTCATTATTTGTTCAGTATCACTGAATCAGTCAGGCTGCGTCAGCGAAACTGACAAGTGAGAACCCGCCTTAAACTAAATTCTTCACTTTTATAAAAGCCATCACGATAAAAATCAAATATCAAAATTATTTAACGTTGCTAACCTTGTTCCCTATACGTATCTGGAATATATTTGCGAATGGCAATTAGCGATACGTTAGACTGCTGGAGTGCTGACGAATGTCAAATTGCACGAATGTTAAATTGCTTTCCAAACAAGCTTTAGTTCTTTTATATTTCTACTGAGCTCTTCCAAATGACGTCACAAGTTAATATAAAATGTAAAAAATAGGTGATTGCTGACCACCGCCGACTTTTGTGTCTGGTATTTTCAATACGCCTATGATGGTTGCGCATGTTGCAAAATCTGTGAATTTTTTAAATTTAATTGATTATTTCTAAATCTGTTTGGGTAATATTCAATTCCATATTCAAAATTTCAAACAATAAAGATTGCTATCTCCAGAAATATATTTTTATTTCTTATTTCTGCAAGACGAATATCTGCTATAGTAAACGCCACGAATGTTTGGGAGTGATTCATTGCTTGATGAAGTTAAAATCGACACGCGCGCTATCATTTTTACATTAAAAACGTAAATTTTTACCGCAGACGTAGGTTTTTAAAGGCCCGGTCTAATCATCTGCATGCGCTCCTCCTACTTATTCTATAATGTTAGCGTGATTGACAAAGACGATACTATATATCGCGTTTCTTTGATTGATTCGTTTTTGTGCGTCAGTCCATTGGTGTGCTTGCAGTGCGACCAATGGGGCATTCCAGTTTATATTTATATCCAAATATGTTTTGACACGACTTTGACAGTTAAAACAACAAATTACAACATATTATATATTGATTATTATATGACTTGAAACACCACGGCCGCGGCACTGGAATTAAGTTTTATGTGACCTTGAACAGATTAGTTTACATAGTAGCGACCGATTATGTGACCTTGAACAGATTAGTTTACATGGTAACTCCCAAACATTCGTGGCGTTTACTATATCTCCCTATTGTGTCTCAATTATTAGGAATAATGGAGTTAGCAGCATCACATTTCATCACATTTCACCGACGATATGTCATATAGACTATTTATTAATGACTATTTATAATGAAGTCCACATCGTAAGGCATTTTTTTATTAATTTAGGTCAAATTTGGCATTGGTATCAGTTTTTGCTTTGAAATAGAATAAAATGACATAATAAAATTGAACATGCACCCGCACATACGGCAAATTGTCGACTTTAGGACGACAAAAATATTTTCTACTGAAAAATTAATAGTTTCATATTCTTAATAATTAAAGTCATAGATTTACTGGAAATATACACAAAAAAGTTTGAAGAAAATAATGTACCTCAAGAATCATTCTGAATCATCGCTATTTTCTATTTCATCATCATTGATATCATCATCTTTGTCCTTTGGCACTTCAGCAACATTATCGGGGAGCAACATTATCGTTTTTCGGTAAAAAGATATTATGGAGCCCGAGGCAGTTCTTTATCCGTCTTTCATCAAACTTGATTCAGTAACATAACATAATTTTTCCAAAGGTACTTCGGTAACAAGCTGTTTGACGTCTCACTGTTTTGCCCAAAATTTTATATTTGGGTTATAACAATATTATTTTTGATTATTAACCACCATTACATAAGAAATACAAGAAACATGATAGAAAAAGAAATACAAAGGTACTTACTTGGATCTACTGATGCTTAATGTCATCATCCATCTGCATCTAACCATAAACATATTCTTCATTTAAAACTTTTCTATCGATATAGAGGGTCGCTGTTATGTATGGAAACGATCGATTATTATTAGATAAAATATACAAGGTACCGCAAAAAGTTAAACATAAAAATTATAAGGATTTTAAATGTCTAGTAGCTAGTAGCCTTGTTTACTATACAAGGCTAGTAGTAAATTTAAGTATACAGGTCGGAGGTCGGTCATAAAGTTGTGGCACATCAAAATTTTTTTTAATGCAACCCCCTGTATATTATTGAATATTTCAATTCTTCCTTAAATTTTAAGCAATAATTATTGCATTTTTCATTTCAAGTTGCGGGTGGAGTCTTCCAAGTTATTGAGTTCCGCTTTTATAGTTGTTTACCACTTGGGAAGCAGAACGGTTCTGGTCCAGTTAGTGGGGGAGTGTTCGCTCCTTTTCTAGCTAGATCATTTGCTTTTGCATTGCCTTCTATCCCTTGGTGAGCAGGCACCCAAAGTAGGAGGACATTGTTTTCTTTGCCTAATTTATTCAGCTTCTCTATGCAATCTTTGGCCAATTTCGAATTGATTGATACAGATCGCTTTTAACGCTGCTTTACTATCAGATAAGATGGTTATTTCTTGTTTCCGATAGTTCCTATCTAAGATAAGTTGTTCCAATCCTTTTAATTTCCCAGTTACTTTGTTGAATATTTTAGTATCTACGATGAGCTCTATACAGGGTGTCTCAGGCTGAGCGTGCATTAGAAGTTTCTCGAGAACTACAACAGCTAGCTCGGAGATTTTTTGCACATCTTAGTTTCTCAACGAGATCTATCGATTAAAAATATTTTCAATATGGTGGCACTTCCGGAAATACCGGAAGTAGACAGGAACTTTCTTATTTTAAATGGGTGCCCCCATTTTTTATTATGTAGTTAAATTCTCTTTAAAATTTTATGAATCTTGATATTAAACACTCTATATCTAACATTGACCGTTTTTGAGAAAAAAATATTTAAAATTTTTGAACGAAAAAAACTGACTGTCAAAAATATGTGTATAGCCTAAACGTCAAATTTAGTGATTACCACTGCTACTGTGCCATAAAGAGACAACAAGGCTATCTATTTCAAGAATTAAATTGTTCGAATGTCATATAATAATGGCCGCAGCTGCCATAGAATTGAATCATTTTTTTCAAATGGAAACCCACTTTTTTTATTTCGTTAGTAAAAAGGCTTTTCAATTCGTTACTTTTTAACTATACATATTCCTATACCTAAAATAAATCGTTTTTAAGATATTTAAGATTTAGTTTTAAAGCGTATATTTTTCTTGATTTTAACCAGTAGCCTATGACTTTAAACGTCAAGTGAAGTAAAATAATAGATCTGGCCATGTCATATTGTAACGCTTTGTTCAAAAAGCAGAATCATTTTCGGGCCAACTTTGCGCTGTTTTTTTTCGATCATACGGAATTGTCCTTGCTGATTTATTAGATATCACTAAAGAGCGAAAATACGAGATATAATTTTTTATAAATAAACTTCTTAAATTCTTAAGGCAGGCAGTATTTATACTATAGGAAATTCAAATAATTCGTTTTCGGACAGATGGAAATAAATTGTCTAAACGTTTGACACTTAATGTCAAAGGAAGCTAGATAAAATGAAGAAAAATATACATTTTCAAACTAAATCATAAATAACTTAAAAACGATTTATTTTAGGTATAGGAACATGTATAGTTAAAAAGTAACGAATTGAAAAACCGTTTCATTAGTGAAATAAAAAAAGGGAATTTCCATTTGAAAAAAATGATTTATGATAAATTTTTAGTCACTCATTTCCCTGACAGCTACCGCCATTATTATATGACATTTGAGAAATTTAATTTTTGAAATAGATAGCCACATGTCTTCTCTTTATGTCACAGTGGCTGTGATAATCATAAAAGTTGACTTTTAGACTATACAAATTTTTTGACAAGTAGTGTTTTTCGTCCAAAAATTTCAAATATTTTTTTTCTCAAAAACGGTTAATGTTAGATATAGAGTGTTTAACATCAAGTGCCGCCATATTGAAAATATTTTTAATCGATAGATCTCGTTGTAAAACAATGATATGCAAAAATCTCCAATCTAGATATTGTGGTTCTCTAGAAACTTCTAATGCACGCTCAGCCTGGGACACCCTGTATATCTACTTAACAGACGCATGTCATCGAAAATACCCATTTCTATACTTTGGCGCTCAAATTTGTCGCTTTTGGTGCACTCCTAGAAAGTGAATGTTTTGTTTATATTTTGTTGATTCCGGTGCTATTATTTGCGTCCTATAAAAGTTCATAAATAATAAATTTATAGTTCCTTTTTTGCGAGGTTCGGAGTTTGTCCGGATTTCAGAGTTCACTTGTCCGTATATAATGTCCAAAAGTCTTTATGGAAACCCTAGTCTGTTGTATTCTATATTGTATAGTTAATAAATCTAATCTGTTGTATTCTAGGGAGAAAGCAAATCGTTACCGCTAAAAAATGTACACAGGAGAAACAAGTAGAAGAGAATTTAATGAATTTACGAATTAATTACATCGAGAAGGCTATGACAGAAGAAGAGCAACGAATTTTTAATTTACAGAAACTTAGACTAACTCTTGATCAGGTAAGTTTTTTTGATGAATTTTAGGCTATTAAAAGGACATTTTCCATTATTTTCGTAACTAGAGCAAGCCTTAAATTTTATCCTAAATTTTCATCGTACTATTGAAGAAGTAGATAAGGGAGAGCGCCCACCAAAGTGACGTAGCATATGACGTGGCCCGTGATCTGGCAAGTATAGTCTGTCCAACGAGAAGATCCTTGACATTTTAATTTCAAAGTAGTAGTAGTATTTTATTTTACAAAGAAATAAGTTGGTACAACGTTGGTACGCATAGCAGGAAATTAATATACACATCGGGACAGGTCAACTCTGTGTATAGGATTTTAACGTGTAAGACAGTGATGTAGGCAGCTTAATGGCAAATCAAATGTATTAAAAAAAGAAAAAAGTTGGGTGGGTATGGGTGGGTACATTTCTTCTGAGCGGTATTGTCAGATTTTGCATCAAAATTTCAAACCGCATAAGTAGACGTTTCAAAAAAATGTTGCATCTAGGGTTGGATCTGGATTTTCGACAATTAGTTACTCATTTTACTACAACTGTAATAGATTACATTTAGCTTAGATATATTATCTTCATTTCAGTAGTATACATGAAAATTTTTAACATAGTTTATTTTATTCTAATTTCTTTAAGACTACGATAATATACTGGTCGGCAAGAGAAAATCTTGGATCGTTTATTTTAGTCATCATTTACCTACATGTCTAGAAGTGAATCGCTATGGCAATCTTGTAAGTCGGGGAGAGAAAATTATTACTTATTCACTTAATCCGGAGCTTAACTTCATGCGTTTGGGAAAATTCTTGCTCTTTTCTGTTTGTTCATTTATACAATCACAGAGTCTATAGACTCTGTGCAAGACCATCGGCACCCAAAGCCGTGTGTACATTATCGGTTATATCATTAAATAAACTAACCAAAAAATATGTTGTATTACGTAGTAAATAGTGCAAATTCTATTGTCGACCATTCTAATCAGTATTAAATAATAATGGAGTGAGACAGTGTGAAGTGAGATATTAAATGATTGATCTTTTTGTTAAATTACCTGGTATAACTTAACACAATGATGAATTGTTTAATGTTTCATATGCACCTCCATAATTATTTGGAAAGGTATCAACTAATGATGCAAAAATAGTTTGGATCTCAGGTGATCTATTTCCTTTCCCTACCCTTTCATCTACATAAAGGTGCGTATTCACTATCCGAACGAACGAATGCTACTATCACTATCCAACGAGCGAACGTCCAGTCTTGTTCGAGCGGTTCTATAATTCTCATTCGTTTGCGAACGTCTCTGATATACCGACTGGAAACAGATGAGGGAGCGAACCGAATGGCAAACGGCCGCATGCTGTCCGGCCGGTTTGCTGTCCAAATATACCGAATTTCATTCCTTTGTTCTTTCGGATAGTGAATACGAACCTTAACATAAAGCACCGCCCCTCTCAATGCGTTCTCCCACCATGCTTATGCTTTACCTTGCCCACACCCGTAAATACCGGCAACATTGTATCGGTCGCACCGGCCCCTCGCCGGCCCCTTTTGATGCTGTCTCTCTGTCTGTCAACCGGTCGTTTATATTATTCTCTGTCTTACACGTTAAAATCCTATACACAGTAATCAAATGACCAGGTCGGTATGTATTTAAAATTTGACTGACAAGTAACTTCAAAATATTGTGAAAAAAACTGTATAAAACTGAAAAAATGTAATCGAATTATTTTATTTAATAAAAAACGGTATGTGTTAATACAAAACAAACAGAAACAAGACACCACATACCAAAAAATATAAAAAAGAACGATTTCTTACTTTCAAGGTTTATGAAACTTCCCGCATTTTATTTATCAATATAATTTATGTACAAATACAAATTTGTAATATTCCGCAGGAATAAATAAAACAACGTAAATAAAACAAACTATTTTATTAATAATAAATAACACTTACCAAATTTTATACCTCACAGGTTGATTAATTAACTTTAATCTTAATTTTTTTAAACCAGTACCTTTTGACATTATTTTTCTGCTGTACTAAAATCCATTATTTACCTATCGTGTGATGTCGATATTTTACAGCTACTCCAGTTTTTAGTATGGGTTTAGTATGGTCCTTCTACCGTATTCGAGATGCACTTATCTACGACGAGTTGGTATACGAACTTTATTGGTGTATCTGTTTAAGACTTTCTGCCTGGGCAGCGAGTATTAACCATAAATTCAAATAAACTGTGCTCTGGGTTCTACAGTTAATTTTCACTCGATTTTTCCTCCACTTGACTTCAAAAGACACAAAACACACGTAATAACACGAATCAAAATGCATCATCTTCCAAAACGCAGGGTATTTGACACAAGTCACAAAATTATAACCTATATTTTGCAAGACTTTGACAAACGTCAAAAATCTAAAGGCGAGTTCATACGCATCGGCGTCTGTTTGTCGTTCATCGTTCCGTCAAACCAATAAAATTGAAATACGATCTGTCATTTTTGAAATAAACCAATAAAACTGGTTAAAAACAAGTGACGACGCATGACGAATTTATATTTAAACCCATCCATAGTTAACTTAAAAATTATTAGAAACTTTTTTTAGTAAAATAAATAGATTGGTATGGGACGTCATCTGCTTTTCTTCTGTCATCGTCTGTCGAAATCTTACCTGAGAAAAAAACAGAGTATAACATGCATCTAGCAAGTTACGTCGAATTTAAGAAAATCGAAAGTGTATCAGCGCCCACTGAAGTAGCGCTGTCAGAAACGTGTCATTTGTTGTTGTAGCATGTCACGCCACTGCTTCAAAAATAGAACTGGTTCTACTTTTTGCCACGTGCTACTAACACGTTACTCGAATTTGGTAAAAATGAAGGACGATCCGGAATTCAATATACGTTTTGTATTACTGATTGAGGCTTTTCTACCTAGCACATCAAAGATCTATGTCACTTTGGTCGGCGCTCTCACTAAGGGAGAGCGCCCACCAAAATGACGTAGCATCTGACGTTAGCATGTCTATTAACACGTTACTCGAATTTGGCAAAAATTAAGGACGATTTGCACATCAAAGCTTTCTTTTTTCCTCGCTTTTTTCATTCTATAAAATGCTTGAAATCCAACCAAGTCCACGTTTCCTTTGTCCCTTTTTACAAAAGGGGTGTATCCAATAGCGACGGTTTGGATGATTTTGGTTCATATTAATTCAGTCAGTGCCACTGCCACATGTATAAGTATGCTTCCTGAAAAATCATGCAACGCTATTGCCATATATCATTGCCATGTATGTGCAACGTCATATGCTACGTCACTTTGGTGGGCGCTCTCCCTAATGATACTTTTCTATAAGAAGTTTTGTGTTAGGAAGTGTGAACAACGTTCCAGGTTCAGCTTACTATCTATGCAATTTCGTTTATTTTTTAGAAATCTTGTTCTAAACAATTTATTAGATTATTACTATTAGCGCTTGTTACCAGCAAGCAGGCAACCTGTGTCCATACCCTTAGATAGAGCGAATAGAAGTATATACCGGGTGTTTCTTAAAAGTGGCTCACCCCTATAACTTCTTTATTTTGTCTGGTAATAAATCGAAATTTGGTGTATTAGTATGTATATAACATAAATCAGGATTGATTGATGAATTCAAATAATTCTGTCGCTTCCTGTTTCACCAGAAATTATTACAACTATTCATTTTTAAATGGTAACCTCAGTATTTTTTACTGTATTTGATTGAAAATGGACATTCTAAATAGAATGACATATCATAATATGTCAATTTTTGATATTTTCAATTAATAAAAATAACATAAAATTTTAAATTTCCATCTAGAGTGTCATGGTTGTGTCAAAATCATTAATTTTAAATCAAGAAACTTTGGAAAAATAGATTTGATCGACTAATGTTTTTCGCGTCTTTTCCTGGCCGGTTTAAAAGATGCCCAAATCGTATTTTTAATCATCACTCAGTTTTGCAAACGGAAGAGAGATTTGGAACGGGGGTGGCTCATTCGCATATTTGGAAGAAACATTTTTTTACGAATAATTTGGTACCACATACTTGGTATTAGCGTTAAAATTGTCGTTATGAAAGCCATTTCATTCTAGATTGAAATTTAAAATATAATTTTGTAAAGGAAAATGTCAAAAGTTAAGATGTAATATGGTATTCTATTCAAAATATAATTTTCTATCATATAAAGTAAAAAAAATACCGAGGGTTACCATTTAAAAATGAAACGTTGTCATTTCCGCCGAAAGTGATCGAAAATAATTGAAAACGCCCATCAATTCTAATTTATGTCTTATAAAATCATACCAAATCTCGTTTTTTTTTCTGAAAAAATTATAGTTAGGTTATAGGGGTGAGCCAATTTTGAGTACACCACAGTCAAAACGAATGTTTTTTTTTAAATATGCTCACTATCAGGTCCAAACTAATTAACATTATATGAGAGCAAGTATTGTGTGGCGGATACAGAGGGGAGGCCCATGGTGCCCGGCCCCCCTAAAATCTATAAATTGGGTTAAATATTTGCTTTTTGGGTTAAAAATGGTGCCCTAAAAAGCATATTCTACATTAGGGGGGGGGGTGGACAAGAAAAAAGAAATTCATTCGTCTATCCGCCCCTGAGTATTTTTATAAATAATTCCTATAGGGTTGTTCACCACATACGACACGGAGTATTGTTGCTAAATGATTAGATATTTACAAATTTAATAGATATTTACAAATTTAAATTTAAATTTACGTATAAAAGTTTTGTAAAAAAAAAATTACAAGATACAGAGTGTCCCAAATAAATAAAAAATATCAAAGTTGTATTTTTTTAAATGGTACACTCTGTATATTATTACATTTTTAGTTTCTACGATTAAAATAAAGCTAAATTTGATTTTAAATAAATAAGGTTTATCACACTTCAACCTTGCCGTTTTTGAAATATTCTGTTTTGTGGAATTGCAGTAAAAATTTGAAGGCTTCATTTCTTC